TTTATTTATTTATATATAAACTTCAGTGTAATTAGTTGTGCCAAAAAGGCTTCTTATTAGTTTGCGTACTGGAGGGGGAGGGAGACTGTGCAAAGCCAGAAGCTTTAGTCATGCGTGTTGTCCTCTGTGAGTGTCCTACCTGTGTCCTGGCTCATGTATGGTTTGAATTAATCATAGAATCATACAATAGCTTTGGTTGGAAGGGACTTTTAAAGGTCATCTAGTCCAACCCTCCCTGCAATGAGCAGGGACGTCTTCAACTAGATCAGGTTGCTCAGAGCCCCTGTTTCCAGGGATGGGGCATCTACCAGCTCTCTAGGCAGCCTGTTCCAGTGTTTCACCACCCTCATTGTAAAAAATTTCTTCTTTATATCTAGTCTAAATCTACCCTCTTCTAGTTTAAAACCATTACCCCTTGTCCTATCACAACAGGCCCTACTAAAAGTCTGCCCTATCTTTCTTATAAGCCCTCTAAGTACGGAAAGGCTGTGATAAGGTCTGCCCAGAGCCTTCCCTTCTCCAGGGTGAAAAACCCCAACTCTCTCAGCCTTTCCTCATAGGAGAGGTGCTCCATCCCTCTGGTCATTTTTGTGCTTCAACAGGTCCATGTCTTTCCTGTACTGAGGACTCAAGTGTGCTGTGCTGTTTATGAGCATGTTTACGAGCCGAGCTGCTAAAAAGCAAAACACTATCATGTCAGCAAACTGACTTCTTTTGTTTTGTTTCTTCTTTTGGGTACAAATACCAGCTCTAGCATAGGGCACCATCCTGTGCCTGGCATCTCTTACTTGTTCTGGCAGGGACTCATAGATGATAGAACATAGTCCAGGACAGCAGCATCACAGAGATTTTTTTTCATTAACAGGCCTCCTAAAAGTCTTATACTAAGTAATATCTCCACTTTGAGTATATCTGTATGCTGCACTTGTGGTCAAAATAAAGGAAGATGAAGAAATTACACTTCTTCTCTTGTTACTGCTAGCTTCTCATGGATGTGGGCAGAGCTGTTGCTCCTTTAAACCTCCACCACCTCTGTGTTTGTGGACAGCTCCCACTTGCCCACATCCAAATCTCGTGTATGCCAAAATGTGCAAGTGCTAAGTATGTGGTGTCACATCAAGGAGACATTGTGTCTGCTGCCATCACTGAGGTCTAACTGGGTCTCTCCTGAGTCATCTCAGGACCACTGTCACTGGGAATAGATGATGAGTGAGGGTTCAAAACAAGACATCCTCTGTCTCCTGAGGAGGAGGAACACCAGGAGCTAGTGACTTGACAGCTTCTCCAGGAACAATTACTCCGGCCCTAATCGAGCATCATTGTAGGGCTATGGTGAGTGCTGCTGGATCTCCAGAGAGGAGCATCAAAGAAAAAAATGTGTAGTCAGTGTAATTTTTCAGTAGCGTTTCAGAGTGTGGCATGCCTCTAGAAAGGTGACTGATGCTTACACACAACACTGGAGTGATCTCTGAAATGTTATTCAGTAAATGAGTTGTTTTGGAATCATGAATGCTTCTGAAAATATACTTGCAGCATTTGTTCTCTCTCGACTGCTGTTCTTTCATCCACACTGTTGTACAAGTGGGAAATTCCATCTTTCGTCGTCGTGCTGCCCATTTCAGCTGCTCTGAGGTTATGCTATAGAGACCGTGGAGCTATTTGGGCAGAATTATTAACTACATCTACCCACTAAAGTGGGTACTACTACTACTAAAGTGCTTGCGCTGCTTTTGTGGTGTGCTGGGACAGAAAAGTCATGCTTCTGCACTGCTGTACATCTACACCAGTATCCCCACCCCTTGAATGGCAGTACAAGGGACAAGCTGGAAGCAGCACATGTGGATAAGCAGTATGCCAGGCTGAGCTAACAGACTTCCCCAATGAGCTGGAGGCTGGAGGATGTCCTGTGGAGACATCAGAGTAGCTGGAGTTGTCCTGGTCCTATTGTACTTTAAAGGGCAAATCCTGGTCCTATGTGGTCACATATCTTTGCAGGTTTTTTTTGTCTGCCTCCTCTTCCCTCCCCGTCTTCATCTAGAATGACTGAATGTTGGGGTTTTTTTTCTCCTATTCTTGTGACCTTTCCATGCTATGATTGTGGATAATGAAGAGCTCACTATAGGTTACATTTTACGTCCATTGTCATGTACTAGCCCTGACCCAGTGCTTGTTGGGAAGTGATGGACTCTTGGCCGTATAGAAGCTGGTCATTTTTATAATGGAAAAGTGCTCAGGAAGACCAAAATGGAAGCAATTCAGGAAAAAGCAGCATGATGAAAATCTCTGCTCAGATGCGTCTTAGTGTGAAACTCCAGCAGTTTCAAGAGTGGAGAGTAGGTGTCTGTTTACTTCTCCAAGTGCAGTGCATAGGTAATGAAGGTGGTCTTTATTGTGTAGCTGCCACAGGTCTCATAGTCCTTTATGGCTCCTGGTTCAGCACTGCACAGTAACCCTGTGTCTGATTCTCTGTTGCCTTTGGGACGTGCAGATGGCTGACAGCTGGTTTGCACAGTCCTTGGTTGCACAGCCCAGCTGATCACCTACAGATACTTGTCACAGCAGCCTTACAGGGGTGTCCAGGTTTTTCAACTGTAAGTGCTCTATCTTGCCTTACTAGGATTCCTTCAGCTAACTGCAAGGCATGAACATGAGGGAAAATTGAGATACATATTCATGTTGTCACATCTTTGTGTCAGCACGTTGTATATAAACTGCAGTCATCAGGATCACTTAATCTGCGATTAAATGTGTCTCACTGAAGAGTGCTTGGCCTCAAGTTTTGAAAGGGTCAGGATTCAACATTTTGCATGTGCAATGCTCCTGAACCGAAAGGTCTCTGGCAGGCTACATCAGCGGTGGGGCTTTTAGCCTACAGTGAGCCTAGCAGCCACACTTGTCAGCCTCCCCAAGGTTTCTCCATGCCATGGAAACGGGAAGGGTTTATCAGTATTAATGACAAACAGACACAGTATTGTACTCTAACTAGTATGCAAAAATTTACTGTTGGAGAGGAATTAATCATGTGTGGAATTTAATATTAAAGCCTAGCAAGTTACTTAATAACTGCCACCTGCGATAAATGCAACCTCTCTGCATTGCTGCTTGCAGACGCTGTTGCTGCCGGTTGGCAGTTACTGCTCTGAAACCTCTTAAAAGTAATCTGCAATCCTTGTTAGCTGCAACAAAAAGAAATAGGTCCTAAGTAACAACATAAATAGGTTCTCAAACTACAATATAAAGCATTGCTTAGTCATTTTCCCATCCCATTAAAACTTTTTTTTGGTCAAAGTGGCGTGAATTTGACCAGGTTGAGGAACAGATTTGGTTGTTTTACATCTCTGTCTCTTCTGGTGACTGCAGTAACTTATCTCTACCAGCTGCATGGTTGGTATGAAAATTTGAGGTGGCTTGATTTATTAAAGGGTTTTCTGGGTTTCAGACAGATGCTTCCAATCAGGACAGTAAGCTATGTAAAATTGTATGTCTGTAACACATATTCTGACCAGGTTATTATACAAGTTACTATTTAGAGTGGATATCCCAGCACATTGTGTAAAATGTTGGTACCTGTCTAGGCACCAGAGAACCATTTCTAGCATGTTAGCATTTCTAACATGAAAACTAATTTAAAAAAACCTGCAAAAACAAGGACAAAAACAAACCAGCAAAACCAAAACACCTGGGCTTTCCAGAGATTTTTATCAAAAAGTTTGGCTGACTTTAGAAAGAGAGTTTTTCCACTTAGAAAATCTCTGCCCTGCCTGAATATTATTTGGGGCAATTTTGCTCCTGTGTCCTTACAAGGGGAAGAATCAAGAATATCCCTTTTCTCATCATCTTCCACAAAACCTGTCTAATCTTTATTGTCTCTAACCTCTGTTAAGCTGGGCTGAAGTTGGCCAATGGGCTCAGAAGTTGTTTGAATGGTTGCAGAGCCTGATCACATCAGCCCACTCCCTTAAGTAGTGCTTCATCTCTCAGAACTTCTGCAAAATTTTCAGGTTTCATTTCTGTAAAAAACTCTGCGTCCTGCACTCAGTACCTGCCACTGCTTGCAAGGTCACATGAAGTTATGTGTATTGTCTCCCACATTTGTTTATAGTATATACAGCTGCATAGATGCAAATCATTATAAACGCCTTTTATTGCAGTGGTATCATATAGTGGTAGTCAGATGGTATTTACTTTGCTATTCATGAAATGGGCCTATCAAACTTACAGGGACACACTGTGTAACCTCAGGGTTCAGAATGAGTGACTTGTCCTACAGGCTTATCTGTGTAAACTGTAATTATTGAGTAATGCAGAGAATGAGTAAAAGGAGGGAGGCCAGTGGGCGGGTAAAAGCCATAAAACAGTGGAAAAATTCATGTGCAAGTTAATACTGGAAGTGAGAAGTGGGGGTTTGTAAAGAAGAGACCTGAAGCAATGAACAGCTCCTAGAAGATAAGCTGTACTTCTGTGTATTTTCTTTTTCTTAAAAGGACAAATGAATGCCAGTAGAACTAACGATCAGTAAGCTGGTCCTGTCCTGACACGGGTCAGACCTGGCAAGCCTAGCCCACGTCTCTCTGATGCTGTATTGCAGCATTCGTGAGGCCACGTGAAGGTGGTGTGTGATTATTTATGTGACTTTCATGCCTGTTTCTGGTATGTGACTTGGGAACAGGCTAATGAATGGGAACAGAGAAAAATTTTCTGTCTTACGAATTCCTGATAATATTACTGACTTTCTTGTGATGTTACCATGTGCAAAGAGTTGTACGTGTTGCACGCACTGATGAACACTCAAATACTTAGGAATTTTTTTTTTTATTGCTACATTTGTCATGTAAGCACACAGCAAAACCTGGCAAGCCTGTTGCTCAGCCCTCTTCCCCTGCTAGCATGTCGGACGCAACAGTATGAAAAGGGCTACAAAGAAGGCAGCTGTATCCCTTTTGTGGAAAACAGCAACTGGATTAGGAAAAATAAAAAGGGAAATTAAAAACTTGTCAGAAGGTGCTTCTTAGCTTAAATCTGGTGGGTTTTGGCACATTAACACTCATCCTTGTGAAGGCATGTGATGCCACGTATTGACTGTCAGGGTAAATTTTATTTTTTTATGTATGTGTTTATATATATGTGTGTGCATATAAATATCTCAATATCAGTATCAACTGGACATGATGCTGACAGTGGGAATGGAGCCCATACATGAGTAAAGCTTTCACTGTAGTGGCGATCCTGATCTGGAATTGCCACTTTATAAAGTAGGGCTTCAAACATATGGTGATAAAAATAGAGTGCCAGTGGTGATTATGTTTACCTAACTGCAATCTAATGAGGTTTTATCTGCATTTTTCCCTTTAGCAAAGTATCCAGAGATCAAGACTCTGATGGGACCGGATCCACATTTAAAGTGGATTGTATCTGGAATGGTTTTCATGCAGTTTCTAGCATGCTACCTGGTGAAAGACTTATCCTGGAAATGGATATTCTTCTGGGCTTATGCTTTTGGGGGTTGCATCAACCATTCGCTGACCCTAGCCATCCATGATATTTCACACAATGTCGCCTTTGGGAACAAGCAGGCCAAGTGGAACCGATGGTTTGCAGTCTTTGCCAACTTGCCTATTGGCATCCCTTATTCTGCCTCTTTCAAGAAATACCACATTGACCATCATCGGTACCTTGGTGGGGACAGCCTGGATGTGGACATTCCCACAGACTTTGAAGGCTGGTTCTTCTGTACGCCACTTCGGAAACTGCTTTGGCTTTTTCTCCAACCTCTGTTCTACAGTCTGAGACCACTGTATGTGAACCCCAAAGCAATTACACGGATGGAAATTTTTAACGCTCTCGTCCAGTTTTCTATAGACCTTATCATTTACTACCTTTGGGGGCTCAAACCTATTATTTACTTAATAGCAGGTACAATTCTTTGCATGGGTTTACATCCCATTTCTGGGCACTTCATAGCAGAACACTACATGTTCTTGAAAGGGTATGAGACATACTCTTATTATGGACCTCTGAACTGGCTCACCTTCAATGTAGGCTACCACATGGAGCATCATGACTTCCCCAGCATTCCTGGGTGCAGATTGCCAATGGTAAGTATGGCATGAGCATGAGTGAATTGGATTTTTATAAAAGCTGCTAAACTGTCTCAAAGAAATCACTCCAAACCATAGCAATGGATCAATTTTAAAAAAGAAAAAGAGGGGAAAAAAGAAGAAAGGTTTTGGATATGTTTCAATTTCTTTCATATTAAGCAGAGGATTGAGAGGAATGGCTGCCAAACTGCTGTAGCATTTAGTTTATTTGATGGAACCAAGAACACCTGGGCCTCAGAGAGATTGAGGAATACTTTTTGCATAATAAAATCCTCCAACAATGCTCTAAATTTCTCCATTTCCTTCCCTCAGCCACCAGGTTTCATCTCTTTGGCATTTTAAAGGCCCATCTAAAGTGAGGCAGGTGGCAATTACTACTTGAAATTTGTCTAATGATCAGTCTGATAACTATATTGCTTGATTAACATCAAATAAAAGTCTTTCTATTGTTTGAGATGACATAAGTATCGGGGCATGTTCCAGCCTGACAAATAGTGCTGGAAAATAAAGCCCCGCTCTACATGACTTGTTTTAGCTCTACTGCCCCACCCATAGAAACTGAGGATGCCTGATCTGTCATTGGGAAAGTGCTGTGGCTTTCCTCTTTTGAAAGTCAAGCCCCTTTTTGTTTATGTTTTATCAGTTGTGGGAATCAAATTTGCAAAGCCCAGGTGTCTAGGAATGGTTTTCAGTCTCCCTCCAGGTATGTAGCTGCTCTTCTGGGTTTTAATACAAGGGTTCCTCAGCAGGTGCTCACGGTGTTAGAGGTACGTGACTTCGAAGTATTACTCATACATACAAATCCTCTGGCATAGTAGGAAGGAAACATCTTCTGTCTCCGGTCTGATGCAAAGTTGGGGGCTACTACTGCAACATCCTTATGAGGTGGAGGTGGAGCTGAGGAGGCTGAGGTTCAGGAGCTGTGCCCTCCCCATAACATGTACAGCTTTTATGATGGTATATCCAGGCAAACACTGCTTTGTGGGTTAATGTTCTTCATCACAGAAACACTGTCTGAGAAAAGGTTCAAACCAGGAGATTTTCTTGTGGTGTAGAAGAGTGTGGGGAGCTTCTGTATAGCCTGCAGTTCTGTTTTAACACACCTCCTTTACTGCTGGATGTCTGTCCTGGAGAAGCTGGCCATTCCTGGAGACGTTCAGAGCAGCCAGTACAGCAGCCCATGCTCACATGTGAAGTTCTGCTGTCAGGCACTCCCATTGCTGATACACCCGATAGCTCAGCTGGGAAGTGTATGAGCTTAGCTTTAGCTTCAAATGTTCAAACTTATTAGATAGGCTTAGATACTTGGACTACTGAAATGTAAATAGAAGAAGAGAAAGAGGTTAGCTCTGTATCTTACACAAGGGAGGTGTGTGACTAATTGAACTTGCTGGGACTGTTGCTCCAGACCTGATTGAGACCTGAAAAGCTCTTCCCCACCCACATCAGAAATAGTTCAGCCTAATTCCTCGAGGCAGTGCAGCAGCTGGAAGTGTCTGCCCTCCTGTGTAAAGAGGATAGAGTTATTAGTTGAATTTCATAGGCTTGTGTTCATGTGTTTCTAGCTCTTGGGCAACTGAGACTCGCCCTGCTGGTGGAGGAGATACCAGGCTTCTCAATCGTTGCCTGACAGAACTATATGGAAAATTTTGAATCTTTGATGAGTGATCAATTACGAGTGAATATCTATTTTGAAGTGAAAATTCTTTGGCAAAGCAGTTACCGTAGAAAATCTTTCGTCCATTAAAACAAGTTGGTTGTTCTTTTCTGCAAACTGAGAATAAAAATTCTCTGCCTTTTTGGTGGAAGGAGATAAGGGGACAGATCCTCTCTGGATAGCTTTAGTGTTTGAACTTCATAACAGGTAGGGCTAGAAACCTTCCCTTGCTCTCCTCTGCTTAACCTCCCAGCAAATTCTTTGCTCAGCAAAGGTCTAGTTTTTTTCAGATTTAGTCTCTTAGGCACTTGAACTTCTAATAGTTGAATTGTGTAATACAGCTGACCTCTCAGTATAGCTATTTTTATTTTTAATTGTTGACAAGTAGAAAGTGGAATAAAGATCTTTATTTGGTTGCTGCATGATTGAGAGCAGGGGAGAAACAGGATCAGAGAATAACTGGATCTTAATCTTGGGAAGTAACTGGCTCTTCCACTTGCTTATCAGAAAAGTAAATTCAGCTTTGTCCTTTGTTACAGGTGTCTCATTCAGAATGTTCTGAGTAATGTGTTTGCCGCTGGAAAGACCTTTACTCTAGGAGTGTGACAGATTTGAAAGAGGAAGAATTAGGCTGTGCTGTAAGCTTATAGATATTAAAGATGAGTGACATGAGTGTGCAGTAAGAACTTGTCCCACTAGTATAATAAGAGATTATGCAAGAGACCATGAAATTTAACATTATAATGAAGGACCTGCTCTAAAAAACCCCTATAGACTTATGACTAGATTAGTCTTTGCACGAAGCCTTATAACAATAAAATATTGCATTCTTTACCAAATTAATAAAAAGATCCATTCTTCATTATCTGAAGGATTGAATATACTTATGGAGAGAGGGGACAGGAGAAGGAGGAACTCAGTACTCTTCCTACAAACTGCAATAAAACCTGCAGTGTTACCAGAGGCAAAGTAGTTACTCATTAAGCTTGTGGGAAAAGGAAAAGACATGGTATGAAACCAGATTTATTAGACAGACAAGACTGGAAAACATGGTAGATGAGCTGTTTTTGAATTGCAGATTTCATTAACCCTGTGATGGCCAGGAGGGCTAGCTTGAGTGTTCCCCCCGGTCAAGGAATATGGAGGGAACTGCTGTAATATATGCCATCTAGCATTCTAAACATCATTTTTCAGCTTCTTGTCATAATGCTGTCTAGCTTCCATATAGCCCCAGGACAAAGGGTCTGTAGCAGCCCGTGGTGAAATATTAGGTTGCATTTAACTTTTGCACCTATCTGATACCATGGAGTAGGATTGGGGTCCTGTTGCTGTACTCTACAAGCACAAAACCAGAAGCAAAGTTTGTCTAAAAGATGTGATTTCTTACCTACCACCTTGATCTACTTAAAGAAAAGCCTCAATATACCACGTGCCAAGTGCCTAATAAGCTTCCTGAAGACTTTGATCTCTTGTCCTTCCGCAATAACTTCCATTCACAAACTAGCAATGATTTAAGACTTACAGTTGAGATCTGTAAGGAGGAACGGAGGGAGGAATTGCAGCAAATGGATCATCTCCAATGCAGTATGGAGAGCATGAGGAGGAAGTCAGGAGCAGGATCTATGAATACTTTGTCACAGTGCCATCCTCTATGTGATGATCTATGATCTGGCTGCAAAACTTGCTACCTGGAAACTGCCATCCAACTGTGCCCCCCCCCCCCCCCCCCAATTTTCTGGTAGGTAAGGAGGAGATAATTTTGGTTTACATATGGAGAAGTGGAAACAAAGTACAATAGATGAGGTGGTTTTGTGTAAACTTTTTGTGTTGATCCATTGTAAAAGAGAAACAACTTTTAAAATTCTTTCCTAACAAATTTCCTTGTCTTTTCCGTAAGAAAACCCTTCAGAAGTCCTTCCTCTAACCGCATTCATTAAATTTTCCCTCTTCCCCATTTCTTTGTCAGAAACACTTTATTGCAGTTTACCTTCTCCTCTCCATTGTTTCTGTACCTCTCATACAGTTATCCTGCCCAGAGTACAGGGACCTTGCTGATGGTGCAAGTCCTGCCTGCCTTCCTGCACAAGGTGCTGCTGGGCACAAAGCCAAGCAGGAGTGAAGAACTATTTCATGTAGCTGTGAGTCACTGTCCCACAGCTGATCTAGGGTAACACACTCCAGTGCAAGCCCCTGGTCATCTCTTGTGGTTTCCATACTGGGCTTCTCATTCAGAATGAGCTGCCGCCGTACTCTGCAGGAAGGTGCTAAACGGATATGCTTGGTGAACAAGCAACTCCTCCACACCTGATGCTGGCAAGCAGCTTGCCAGCCATGACTGAGCTGCCTGTTTCCAGGATGGGGTATGTATGATCTTCTTCAAAATTCACTGCTGGGTATTTTGATTAATCATTTTAATTATCCAATAATACTTGGTGCCTGTTTAAAACCTGTAATACAACTGCAGAACATGTGTATGGAATATATTTAAGTGCATGTTTCCAGACTTGCATGTTGTGTCCACCTGAGCTCCTCAGCACTATGCCCAAACTATACTGCTGCTCATGTTTGCTGAAAGTGCGGAAACTATTGGGTTGAACGTAGACTGTTTATTGGCCTCTTCTCTGAGCCATTTTTTGTCCTACTTTGTCACTGGGGTCATTTTTAGTTAGCCTTTGGTGCCAGAGGCCACAGCCACTGCCTGAGACATTGTTCCTAGGAGTTGAATTGGTTTCTGTGAGTCTCCAGCCCTGCACTTCCATGCGCAAGGGGCAATACAGAAAGACTTTCTGAAGCTGTCATAGTGGTCAGAGTCTAACATGATCAAGAGCTGTGCAGAATAAGGTAACTAGCTGAGAAAACATCTGGTTCAGATCATTGTTTCTGTGGGCAAGAAATACATGGGGGTTCCGGAGAAGAGGGGAATGGTAGACTTGCCATATGAACTTGGCTAGCATAGATGAGGGCTGAATTACTGTTGCAAGTCAAAATTCAGGCAGAACTTCTTAAATGGAGGTAGGAGGGAAGGCCTGTAAGCAGCAGTGTGCTAGGGAATGACCACGTCAGAGCTGGAGTGAAGCTTTTGGGGCTGGGTATCTGAGACCCCCTTTGTGTTTGCATAAGGCCTCATTAGTGGCTTTCAGTCAAGGGAGTCAAGGGAGCTTACTGTCTAAATAGTCATCCCTCTCATCCTCTGGCTATTTCAGTTACCCAGCTGGGAAAAGGGAGCATACAAAACCCAGATTAAATTATTTTTGACTGTGGTTGCAAGTAGCGCAGGGAACTAAATATGCGTCTCTAGAGATCTGACCACGTACCTGGAAGTCACCCTTTTTCCAGTCATTAACAAATACCTCTAAGAGCAAATGCTGATAATGTCTGAATCCCATTGAAAATGAACCACATTTGGAGTACAGACCAACACTTTAAAGCAGGATATAGGGAATTATTAGGAAGTCAGAGGTATTCAGTGAAAGGTGGAATATAATCAGACCTGCACTGAATCTTGCACCTCCAACACAGCCCTATCATGCCATGAGCACAAAGAGTGCATAGGGGCTGAGGTACAGAGATAAAAGATCTTAATGGAACTTGGTATGTTACCTAACCTACCTCACAGGGAAATGTCCGCTAGGAAGCTGAATTTATGAGGTAACTAGCAGTGAGCTATAATTTAACTTTTGCTTGGATTCTTACCTTTTCACAAACAGTCAAATTGCTGTGTTAAGATTCCACCATTACAACTCATACGCTGATGAGACCCTCCTCCTGGATGACAATTTCTCTGTAACCCTTTTGCTCTTCACTGGAAGTCCGAACTGTGCTCAGCATAGCTGGCTTTAAAATTCTGCAGGGTTTTTAAAGAGAGAAGTCATTCTGTCCATCAAGACAAACTACTCTAGAATAGAGCTTTGTTTGTCTAGGAGGTGGAGCTGTAATAAAACCATGGCCAAGCAGTTTATGTGCAAGTGTACAATAGTTAACCGACTCTGCTGCTTCGTAAGTGTGTTCAAAAAGCAGAGCATCTAGCTGGAGCAGGGGCTACTGATAACTTGGGAATCCTCGTCCCCTGAACCTGCCAGGTTTGAAATCTCTTTGTCCTCTGGTTCTGGCCTTACTCCCACTACAAGTGCCACCCCCAATGATGCGCAATGCTTCTCTGATGGCAACAGTCTTAAGACTTGGGGATTTGTAACAGGGATGAAAATTTATTAGACTCATGATCTAGTAATGAATCTTGCAGCATTTTTAACACCAGACTGAGAAGAATGGACCACCCCCAATTACCTCTGCCTGCTGGAGGAACCCGTCTCTCAGATTTGCATCACAGTAACGGAATGGAGGAAAGAAAATGAAGTGTAGGCAAGGCTGTGTCTGGCATTTTCTCAGTTGGTATTTCTCTCCTACCTGGAACCCTCAGCAGACGAGTATTACAAGTGGCGAACAGGGCTTTAAATACAGTGTGTTGGAGTTTTGGGAATTTATAAGGTGGATTAGTCATCTCATTGCGGCGATCCCTCCACCTCCAAAATGAGAGAAAATAGTTCTGACTGAAGGCAGTGATCCATCATCTTTCGAATTCTGACATTGTGAGGCAAAGCTTATATCAGAAATCTGCTAAGAAATACCTAAATATATTTAAGTACATCTCATTTGGCTGAACTTCAGAAGCTCACAAGCAATAACAAGTAACTTCAGGTTATGGCTGTGCTATCAGATCTGAACGTGAAGACTGAAACACACCTGACACTGTGCAGCTAAACAGCTCATTCTCTCTCCTCTTCTTCCAGGTGAAGAAGATTGCAGCAGAATATTACGATAACCTCCCACATCACCAGTCCTGGGTTCGAGTTCTGTGGCACTTTGTTTTTGATGACACCATTGGTCCTTATTCAAGGGTTAAGAGACTATGCAAGCTGGCAAAAGAAAGCTAATGGACTAGCTCCACCTGCTGCATTGGTGTTTTGTTTCTTCATTTGTATGACTTGAGTTTTCTGCAGAAGGAGAAGGACATTTGTGTGTGCTGCATTTGCATTGGTGCTAATGGACCAAGAGTATGAGTGAGAAAATGAAGGAATTGGATGCACTATTTTAGACTATTAATACTTTCTAATAAAGGATATTTGTGTAGGTAACCCTGAGAAACCAGATTAAAGTGAGCTATGATTATGTGAACTTTTGGTCTAGGCTTAGAATTAACTTCCTGGGCCATGTGTGCCTGAGATTTGTCCTGGTCTGCAACGGAGAATGCTTGGTGCGTGTATGTGTGAGCATGCATGTGTGTGGTTTAGGACTGGTTTCTCTTCATGCCAGATTAGATGTAGATGCTCTGCGTGCCCAGGACTGTGCAACCAGGGAGGACTGGCACACAGTAGTAAATGATACTTTCTGGAGAACATAAGGGTGCTTTCAGCTCAATGTCTTACTTCTGATAATTGCTGGTAGCAGAGATTTTGTATATGCAATGGAGTATGTGTATATTTTTGTACATTTGTATAATTATTTTAGTAGCTGCTGTTTGACCTTTAGCCCAGGGCTTTGTCTAAACCTTTTCTGAATGCATTTCTATTATTAGGATCTAATACTCAGTGTAGCTATCTGGTAGAGCTGAACTGTGGTGTGGAGAAACCCTTCCTTTAGTCTTCCGCTTGCTGCCTGATCAGCAGCATGGATGTGCCCCTGGAGGAGCTGGGTCATCCTTTCTCACTCACCTTTTCAACAGTATTCATAACTTCATGTTTCTCATCCCTTTCCCCACCATAAATCCTTCTGGGAATGGAAAGGTTCTAGCTGTAATTGCTGCTTGCCAAAGTGGTTAATATTCCTGACCACCTGTCCTGGTTTCAGCTGGGATAGGGTTAGTATTCTTCCTAGTAGCTGGCATAGTGCTGTGTTTTGGATTTAGTTTAGTTTTGGATAATGTTGATAACACACTGATATTTTAGTTGTTGCTAAGT